CGCCTCCCGGGTTCACGCCATTCTCCTGCCTCAGCCTCCTGAGTAGCTGGGACTACAGGCGCCCGCCACCTCGCCCGGCTAGTTTTTTGTACTTCTTAGTAGAGACGGGGTTTCACCGTGATCCGCCCAACTCGGCCTCCCAAAGTGCTGGGATTACAGGCTTGAGCCACCGCACCCGGCCTGAGAGATCTTACAAGTGTAACAAATGTGGCAAAATTTTCAGACATCGTTCATACATTGCAGTTCATTGCAAACTCATACTTGAGAGAAACCTTACAAATGTCATGACTGTGGCAAGGTCTTCAGTCAAGCTTCATCCTATGCAAAAACAGGAGAATTCATACAGGAGAGAAACCTCACAAGTGTGATGATTGTGGCAAAGCCTTTACTTCATGTTCACACCTTATTAGACATCAGAGAATCCATACTGGACAGAAATCTTATAAATGTCATAAGTGTGGCAAAGTCTTCAGTCCAAGGTCACTCCTTGCAGAACATCAGAAAATTCATTTTTGAGATAACTGTTTCCAATGCAATGAGTATAGCAAACCGTCAAGCATTAATTGACATTAGATTCAAATCAGCATTGATTTGAGTTTGTATTGACTTAACATTCAGTTCAAACCTTAATTGACATTAAAGTGTTTATGTTAAGAGGATTGAGCCAGGTGCGGTGGTTCATGCCTGTAATCCTAGCACGTTGGGAAGCCAAGGCACGTAGGTCACTTGAGGTCAGGAGTTTGAAACCAGCATGGCCAACAGATGTGAGCCACTTTTCCCAACCTATTTTCTGTTTCTTATTTTCTATTTTTCTTTTTTGAGATAGTGCTTTTTAAAGAGATAGTACTTTTTTGAGACAGTAGTTTTGAAAAGGGATATACCGTAGTACTTTTTAACAGGGATATCAGGCTGGGTACGGAGGCTCACGCCTGTAATCCCAGCACTTTGGGAGGCTGAGGCAGGTGGATCATGAGGTGAAGAGGTCGAGACCAGCCTTGCTAACACTGCAAAACCGCGTCTCTACTGAAAATACAAAAAATTAGCCAGGCGTGGTGGCGGGTGCCTGTAGTCCCAGCTACTCAGGAGGCTGAGGCAGGAGAATGGTATAAACCCAGAAGGCGGAGCTTGCAGGGAGCCGAGATCACACCACTGCACTGCAGCCTGGGCGACAGAGTGAGAGTCTGTCTCAGAAACAAAACAAAACAAACCAGGATATGAGAGCCCAACAAAGTGGCTCATCCCTGCAATCACAGTACTTTGGTAGACCGACTTGAGTGGATCACCTAAGGTCAGAAGTTCAAGAGCATCCTGGCTAACGTGGTGAAACCCCATCTCTACTAAAAACAAAAAAGTTAGCCAGGGGTGGTGGTGTGCACCTTTTGTTCCAGCTACTTGGGAAGCTGAGGCACAAGAATCGCTTACACCTGGGAGGCAGAGGTTGCAGTGAGCCAATATCATCCCACAGCACTGCAGCCAGGGCGGCAGAGTAAGTCTCCATCTCAAACAAACACACAAACAAAAAATAGAAAAAAAAGAGACATCAAAAATTCTTTTGTTCTCATTGTATAATAGATTTCCTTTTTTTTTTTTTTTTCTGGTTCCTCTTCATTTCTCTATTTTTTATTTTTTATTTTTTTTTTGCAGTTTGAGTTTGAGATAAATCTTAGTTTTAAAAATTTTATTTCTGGCCGGGCATGGTGGCTCACGCCTGTAATCCCAGCACTTTGGGAGGCCAAGGCAGGTGGATCACGAGGTCAGGAGATTGAGACCATCCTGGCCAACATAGTGAAACCCCGTCTCTACTAAAAATACAAAAAATTAGCTGGGCGTGGTGGCGGGCACCCGTAGTCCCAGCTACTTGGGAGGCTGAGACAGGAGAATGGCGTGAACCCAGAAGGCGGAGGTTGCAGTGAGCCGAGATTGCGCCACTGCACTCCAGCCTGGGCGACAGAGCGAGACTCCGTCTCAAAAAAAATTTTTTTTATTTCTGCTCTCGGCCTTAGTGCCATGTTCTTGGAAACCTCTGTGCCATGAGAGCCAAGTGGAGAATGAAGCGCATGCTCAGCCTGAAGCACAAAAGAAGAAAGATGAGGTACAGCTCCAAGTAAACCGCTAGCTTGTTGCACCGTGGAGGCCACAGGAACAGAAACATGGAGTGCCAGACGGTGGCGATGCTGTTACAAGTTGTGGAACTGCATGCTACTATCTAGAGCTTGTCTCAATGGATCTAGAACTTCATCGCCCTGTGATCACCGATCACCTCTGAGACCCACCTTGCTCATAAACAAAACTGCCCATGTTGGTCCTCTGCCCTGGACCTGTGACATTCTGGACTATTTCTGTGTTTATTTGTGGCCGAGTGTAACAACCATATAATAAATCACCACTTCTGCTTTTTTAGCTGAACAATTGAAAAAAAAATTATTTCTTTCTTAATCTATAATGACTTTTGAAAGATGCCTTTGAGGCGTCCTATAATCAGCTCATATCATTCATTTCTGTACTTGAGTATTTTCTGGTTATTCTCGACCCCGGAATTCAATAGAATTTTTTTTTTTTTAAACAAGTTCAAAAAGTTGCTGTTTGAAATTAGCATCCGGTTCAGTTCAAGGTCTGCATGCTTTCTAGTCTTTGTTATTTATTGGAAGCCTTGGTACCTACTACTTAAGTTTGATTGTTTCAGTGTATACTTGGTATAGACGTCAGTGACCTTTTAACTAAACATCAAAATATAGTTTAACCAGTTAGTCTGTTTTTCAGTTTTCTTTCCTTTTGTCATTTGTTAAAATCTTGAGCTGGGAGCTGTTTATTGCGTGTTTCCCTCAAGGCCCTCTGGTCCATTCTGTAAAAATGTTGAAACATGGGCTGCATTGGAATAGAACAGTCCTCCAAAAGAACCCATGTATTCTTTTCTTTTTCTTGAAATGGAGTCTTGCTCTGTCGCCTTGGGTGGAGTGCAGTGGTGCAAACTCAGGTCACTGAAACCTCTGCCTCCCAGGACCAAGGGATTCTCCTGCCTCAGTCTCCTGAGTAGCTAGAATTACAGGCACCCACCAGCACACCCGGCTAATTTTTGTATTTTTAATATATTTTGGTACCTAAACATCACATGATGGACATATTTGTTTTCTGGAAAAACTCCGAGGAAAGCTGCCCCCATAAAGACCCATTGCCATAAAGCATCTCCTTTCTCTGTCACATCCTCCACCCTCCTTACAAACTCACTGGGCAGCAGCTACTGTCAGTTCTGTGTCAGGCGTCAGAGCAAGTCTCGTACACGTGTATTTCTGCATAAAGCAAAACAGTGTTGAAGTGTTGGGACGACGAAAATTTTTGGGGGTGGTATGGAGAGATAATGGGCAATGTTTCTCAGAGCTGCTGCAAGCGGATTAGGGGTGGCATGGGAACCTAGAGTGGGAGAGATTAAGCTGAAGGAAGATTTTGTGGTAATGGGTGATATTGTGGGCTTGTTAGAAGAAATATTTGTCACATAGAATTATTGGTGATGGCCTGGATACAGTTTTGTTTGAATTGAAAACCTAATGGAATAAGAGAAGGAGAAAAACAGGTAGTAAAGGACTAAGAATTGGGAGGACCCAGGACATCCAATTAGAGAGTGCCCAAGGAGGTTCAGCATAGCCCTGCCAGCAAAGATTATTTATATACTTTAAGAGTTAAGAGTGGCAGTTTGGGAATAGCACCAGGAGATATCAGCTGTGATGTCTTGGAGAAATAGTGTAAACCAGCAGTGTAGAGAGCAGGGCATTTATGAGTAGTTGAGATCAGTGAATACAGAAGATAGTAGGGATGACAAAGTTTTGGGGACACAGTCCAAGTAGGTCTGGTGTCTGGAATGAGATTGGGACCTGATAAAAAGGAGTGTTGGTACAGGAGCTCAAATGGGCTGTACCCTGTAGCATTCCAAGGACGGGACCTAATTCTGAGAAGGGCAAGTGGTAAAAGTATTGTCCAGTCCTTTTTAAGTTAGTGACCGAGCTTGGTGAGGTGTGTTTTGAAAAGACCATTAGTCCATTCTACCTTTTCTGAAGATTGAGGAAGGTAAGGAGTATGAAGGTTCCACTGACTACCAAGAGCCTGAGCTTGGGTGATTTAACTAATAAAGGCTGGTCCGTTATTGGACTGTATAGAGGTAGGAAGGCCAAACTGAGGAATTATGTCTGACAGAAGGGAAGAAATAACCATGGTGGCCTTCTCAGACCCCGTGGGAAACGCCTCTACCCATCCAGTGAAAATGTCTACCCAGACCAAGAGGTATTTTAGTTTCCTGACTCAAGGCATGTGAGTAAGTCAATTTGCCAGTCCTGGGCTGGGGCAAATCCCCAAGCTTGATGTGTAGGGAAGGGAGGGGGCCTGAGAAATTCCCAAGGAGTAGTAGAATAGCAGATGGAACACTGAGAAGTGATTTCCTTGAAGATAGCATTCCATGATGGAAAGGAAATGAGAGGTTCTAAGAGGCAGGCTAGTGGCTTGTAACCTACATGGAAGAGGTTATGAAATAATGACAGAATCGAATGGGCCTGTGAGGCTGGAAGGAGATAATTTCCTTGGTTCAAGAACCATTTGCCTTGTGTGGGAAGAGATTGATAGGTGGAAGTTTCAGTGGGGGAGTGGCCAGATGAGAAGGAGAAAAACTGCTGTAAGAGATAGAAGTTGGAACACTAGCTGCTTTTTTAGCTACCTTATCAGCATAAGTGTTGTCCTGAGTGATGGGATCTGATGCCTTTTCATGGCTGCTTTCTTAGCTACCTTATCAGCATAAGTGTTGTCCTGAGTGATGGGATCTGATGCCTTTTGATTACCCTTGGCGTGAATGGCTCCAGCTTCCTTTGTAGGTAAAGGAGCTTTGAGAAGAGTTTTTATTAAAGAGGCATTAATGATGGAGGACCCTTGCATCGTG